CAAGTAAATGCTGAAAGGTCCTGGAATTAAATCATAAACATTCAACATAAAGGCCCAGTTTTCACAAAACTGGGTGATTTCACCATTATAGCATATATGAACAATGGATTAACTCTACTGCTTTCCTTAGGGGAGAGAAAGTGCTGTATTCATCTGTTTGCTAAAAGTTGTGTTATCTTTTCTGCTCAGTGCAAAACAGCATTAAAGGGAAGAAACGGAAATGCTGGAAGGTAAGCGAGTGGAGTAGAGTAATATTTAAAGTGCCTTAATGCTATTGAAAAGTCAAATGGGCCAGTGTATCCATTCTGGTGATCCTGAGACATCTGCAAACAGATTTAAGCAAAGAATGAAAATTGGAGAATCAAAATATACAATTATAGAAATCATTGGAAGCAAGGGAAGGCTTTGGAAGGAGAATCATCCACAGGACCACCTCAGCTAGTGAAGAGATTAATAAAATATGACATGAATAAATGTAGTGATTAGCACAGAGAAGTCAAAATAAGTCTTTTGGTTTATTCTGTTTCATATTTTAAAGCAACATTTTTCAAACCCAGTATATTAAAAAGCTTTTTCTGTGCAATGCATAATTAAGCTATGTTGATATAATTAAGCTATATGGTACCATTCATGCTGAGAACGTGGCCTTGAAAAAGGATGCAACATTAAAAAAAAACCCCAACTATATTAGATAGTAAACTTTTATAGAATCATATTTTTCAAAGACAAATGCATTGTGGCATAAAGCTTAACTAATAAACATTTCAAAGAAACTTGCTCTTCAGGCAGGTCTTTTCATAACAGTTAATGGCAGGATTTCCTGATCCTTGTGACTATTTCACTGGAGAAGACACTTTCACAGGGGTGGATCAGTGTTACAGCCTGGCATTGGTGATGTCTTTCTGGGTCTGCTGTATACACTATTTTAAATATTAGCATTTTGTAATGGCCAGTGATCAATTAACTTCACTGCTATTTTGAGCTACAGAAGAAAAGTAATGCAGTGAACAGTTAGATGAAAATTAGTGCTGAAGCAGGGGTACAAATGCAAATAGTATTAAATAAACTTCTTACTTTTTTGGGTTCTTTTTGTCTAATTGCACTAAAAGGGATGTAAATAGCAAGACAGGGATCAGCATTGGAACTCTGGTTAAACTGTTAGCGGGAAACAGTTTTGGACACTTATAGCCCAGTATTATCTTCTGATATTCCCACCTTACAAAACCAGCATGCCTGGAAATACTGAACAAAGATTTGGCTTTCTCTGTTGCTTAGATATCTGGAGTGTCCTACCTGACCTTCCATGGATCTTAGGAAAATTTATCAAGTACTCTATGGCCTCAGCAGGCCTATTTGTAGTGTGATTAGTGCTCAAAAGGTATGCAAGTTGTTTGAAATCCACATCTGGGTGATGTCTTGCTGACAGGATCTCAGTTCTTCTCATTTTCAAGGTCTGTTTCCCCTTGCCTCTCCTACCTCCCCAAAATCTTGTGTCCCTTCAGTCCTGGGCAGCAATTCCTACTCCTGCTGGCTTTTCTCCCTGCAAGGTGACCCAGTGCCCATCTGCATGATCGCGGGGCTGCCCATGACTTCACGTGCCTTCTGAGAGGTGAGGTGTTTAACCCGTGCATCTCTCCAAGGCGATAAGTGAGCAGAGCATTAAATTAGCGCTAAGGTCTTTGCAACCCTGATTTAAGTAAGAGGGACATAGTGTATTATGTGTTTGTAGTTCAGGCCAGGCAGGCAGGACATGGAGGTTAATGCTGTTTTGCAGCTAGCTCAGGTAGAATCGTGAAGCAAGCAGCACGTGGCTGGGGAACTTAACGTGCCCATTTGCCAAGGCGATGCAGCAGCAAAGACCCAAACCTCATCCTGATGTTTAATCAGTGCTCCATTAGTTTCTTGATATTCTTTTCAGATTTTTTTTCTTATTATTTTTGGAATCAAACACCAAAATTCAGGCCATGATTGAAATTTAAAGGTTAGAAGATATCTTTTCCTGGGGGTTCTGTTCTGCTTTTGTCCTGTATCACCCTGGCTCAGTTGTAGTGGTTCACATTTTTTAAGCATCCTAGGTAATAAAATCAGGTAACAGCAGCAGCTTTTTGTTATAGTTAGTTCCATATGTTGGAACTCTTCTCAAAACTATGACTACTCTTGTATTTGGTTAGTAGTTCTAGCACTTCACAATCTGCCCTACTTCCACTTCCATTCATGCTGCTCTGAACACACAGGCTGAGACACGGAGAAGAAGAAACAGGCTGGGGCAGGTGGGAGGAGAAAGCAGCTTTCCTTGGGCTGTGTCATTATGCTGTGATTCTGGGTATTTACATTGTGAGTTACGTGGAGTTGAGACCTGGGGAGCCCTTTCCTTTCCCCTCAGCACTGTCTCTGAGAACACAGTAAGATGCTGTAAGCTTCTTCAGGGAGCTTACAGCTCAAATAGATTTTTTAAAAAATAGAATAAAAATTAGAAGCAAGGAATAGAGATCTGAAGTAACTTGCCCGAGGTCAAATAGCAACTCAGTGGCAGAGCCCCAAATGAAGCCCAAGCGCTCTGGCTCAGTCCTGGTGCCCTGTCCCATTGCCTGTTTCTTTCCTCAAGAATCTGGTTTCCCATTACATTTTAATACTGAAAGAGCAGTTACTGGAGTCACCTTGTAGTTTCCATTTTGGTCATTCTTTAAGACATATCTCTAACTGTTCTGTAGAAGCAAGCTTGAACTATCAGCTGAAATTTCTGAAAACACTGTTACTGTGCCAGTATTTCTTTAAAAGTTGACCTATAGATACAAACTGTGCCTTGCACGTGTCACATTATGTTAGAGGTTGTTGGATTTTACAAAAAGGTGCACAAATAGTAGAATGTGGAAAAATTGCTAATCAGCAATAGTGAATAGTTTAAAAAGAGCAAGACATGAATATGTTCCCATAAAATATTAATTGAAAAAGCTCAAATAATGAAAATAATGCTTACAATAAAAGACTATTAGTAGATAATTAATTAAGAAAAAATAAATTGTTTTAATTCTTTTTCTCTGGATAGCTAGCCCATTTAATAAAAATTATCATCTTCCAGGCAAAGAGCAGATAGCTAGTAAATAGGTTTTTCCTGGGAACTGGCTGGACGTGAGAGCAGCTCTCCACACGTCTAAGTTTTAGTCACTTACCATTTTGAAGTCAATTCAGAGCTCCTGACAGTTTATGTAACCTTAAGCCACTCTTCCCACTTTTGTTGCAGAATTCTCAATCAGGTAGATTCCTTTTTAGTTACGTTGCTGCTTATTTCATTAAGAAGGAAACATACATTTTAGTAAGGAGGTCTGCCTTTGGCTTTGAGGTATCATCATGAGCGAGCAGTTGGATTTTTGCCCTCAGCACGGAACACATGCTTTGAGAACACCACAATTAAGAATCACCTCAGATAGCCACAACATCTCAGGCACTTCTTCCTACAGCTTACAAGACCGCTGATAACCCGTGTGTGACTGTCCTGTATGCCCAAGCGAGAAGTGCCCGGGGTGTTGCAAGGGCAGAGGTGGTGCTGGAGCCCCCATGTAGAGCTCTGCTGGAGGAGGACCAAGATGTGGCTGACTCTTCACGCACTTCTGTGGTTTTTGGCAGAAGTACCTGGCAGACTGTACTACAAAACTAAATCCCCCTCTCTGATTTTCAGCGTCGTTCAGTAGCTCGGTGGGAGAGAAAAGGTATAAGGCAGAGAAACCTGAGGCTTTAGGGAAAGTGTATGCTTCACGTCGTGCTCTTTGGGACCAGATTCTGGTATCGCATTGGCTTTGTCCGGGCCTGGTTCCAGCTACTGCTGTGGAGGTAACATTAACTGCGCTTCAGTATCTGGTAAGAGGTAGATCAGGTTCTCAATCATTGTGCATGTATCTAGCAAACAGTAAATAGGATTAGGAGAAGTCAACAAATTAACCAACAATAATAATATGTTAGCTGTCTTCTCCCTACAGCCACCTGATTTCCTGCTGCCTTTCCTATGGGATTACAGGTATTCATCTGGTCAAATATTGTCCTGGTATGTTCCTACAAGGATTCCCACTGAGTTCCATGTGACTTGCTCATGTCTGTCTCTGGGCGTAGTGTAGCATATTCCTGGTTAAGGCGAGTGCCAAGAAATTGTCTACGGTAGAGACAAAAGTAGAACAGAGAGGAGGGGAGAAGTGTTTTGTTTGGGGTATTGTTTTTTTTTAAATAGGTGAGAAGTGACTATGACAAAAATCCTGCTTTAACTCATGAATGCAACCCAACACCTGAATAACTGAAACCAGATTTTGCCCCAATTACTGGAAAGTAATTCTTCTGCTGTCTTTATGACCTGTATTTCTCTTAATAGGAAGCTTCAACTTCATAAAAAGAAATAAAATGCAGCCCTAACTCTAAAGTAAGTTGATAGGGGGAAATGTTTTAACTTTAAAAAATACACACCCCACTCGGTGAACCTTTGAGACCTACAAATGTTTAAAAAGAAAAAAGTAAAGCCCCATGGCAGCTGCAATTTGGAAAACAACATTCTGCCGCTAAAAATGAGTAATTTTAATCATAAGTACCTCATAGCTTATTCGCAGATAGTTGTACACTCTGAGAAGAAGAGGAGAAAAAGAAAAAAAAACCCCACCCTGTAATAGGCCTTAGGTCAGCTGCATTGATTTAATGCATTACTTAGGCTGCCAGAGCAGAGGTAGAATCTCCTCGCGCTGCATTAGGAGCGCCTCAAGCCTCCGTGACTCCTTTTGATCAAATCTCTGTGAAAGATGAGTGTCATGCCCTCTTCCAGCCAGCTGTGAGGGGACTGCCCTGCGACTGGAGGAGCACGCTGGAGCACAGCACTGCGGGGCAGCGAGGTGAGGGCTGGCTGCAGAGGTGAGAGGCAGACACAACTTCGTACTGTAGGTCTGGAGAACACCAAGGGGGAGGATCTTATTTCACTCCCCTGTGCACAGCCTGAGCATACATCAGACCTTGAGGTGCTCAGAGTCAGACAAGAGTAAAGAGGCGTGTGATGGTTCTGCCTTAGTACTTGTACAGGCAGGAGTGTTTCCAGTACTTCTTTGTACAACTCACTGAGGGAATGGGAAACTGGTTTATAGCTCTGGAAACATAAGCACAGTAAGAATGTCTGAGGTAAGGAAAGTTCTTTGCAGATCTATATGAATGTGTATTTTTACTGTGCAACTTTTGCTTGTGGTTGTGCACTGTGGAGATATAAAAAAAAATCGTGCAGTGGTGTTGTTTTGGGTAATGAACAATGGAGATGAGAGCTGGAGGGAGCTGTGCTCTCCGTTTCTTAATTACGAAAAGCTACTGTGGAAGTAGAGAACTAGTTTATGTTAAAAATCCTGGTTTTCTTTCTGCTGTGCACTGTAAACAACTGTATGACTTTTCTGTTCTTCAGTAAGTAGTGCAGAATTGCAGGCTGATTATAATAAGCAGAGCCATCACTTGTGTAATCGCTTTCCAATTGAAGTAGTAGCATGTAAATCATAAATACTTGACAATGTTTAATTGTACAAGTCCTCAATATACATTAATAGCAATAAAATCTGTGATTTGTGACTCAGATGTGTTCTGAGTCAAGTGCTTTAAGCAGATACATTATCATTATCATGACGTATAAATGCACTGGAGAGCAGACAACAATGTAATTTCACTATGAAGTTCTTTAGAAATTGCCACTAAAGTGGACTCTAATGTATGCCCTTTATATACAATTTATTGTTGACTGTTTGGCATCTAGAAAATAAGACCAGTAATTCTTTTCTTAGGATCTGTCTGTTTGTATTTCGGGGGGGAGGGTGGCGCTGGTGGGGGGGAAATGACTGTGTATGTGTGTGTATGGGGGGGGCTGCTTTTTTTTAAATATATTGCGCTAATTAAGAGGTTAAATGCAACAGAATTTAGGACAATTATTTAATTTCTTTTTTTTTCATCACGTAAAAAATAAACATGGTTTAATTGTCAGCTCATACATAATGAGGTTTTGTTAGATGTGTTTAAGATACGGCATTTTACTTTCTGGTTTATTAATTGGCCAAATACTTTTAGCCCTCTGTGTAACAAATCCTTGGTTTAAAAATGAGGAGAGGGCAGATAGCTAACCCAGGGGAGGACTGCTAATATGCAGAGGCTGTGGTTTATCCTCCTGTAAAATCCTGTAGATAAAAAGTGACACTTTTTTCCCTCTCCTTTTTTTGTTTCTTTTTTTTAAAAATGTTTTTCATTTTTAGTAACCTGGGAGCCAGGCAACATTCTGATATTTTGGGGACATGCGAGAGAGAAATTAATGAGTTTTGTTTCAATTTAAAACAAACCACTGCATGAAAGGCATTTAGCAGTCAATTTTCACATCTGATCTGAAGCTGGAGTTTATTGTGCTCGTTTAGTCGAGATCGCTGTTCAAGCGATTCCTTTATAAATTTTTGTGATTCATGTAACTACTTGGCTTCTTGAACCTCAGGAGCTGATTGTTTGTCTTATCTTCTGGTGAGCTAACTCTGCGTTATGTTGCAAAACCTTGAGGCATGTTGTGTTTCTTCGTGTTCTTGCAGTCTGCAAGTGAAGTCAGCTTCATTAGTTTCATGATGGCACATCAGTGCAGGGCTGGTGTTGCCGCTTCCTTCAAGCTACTCCCGGAGCATGATCTGGGCTGCCTTGGTTTGGATAAGCTTGTAAGGATTTGTCAGCCAGATGTGACAAGATTGTCAAGAGGCAAGTAAAGAAGGAGATCTGATATTAATCAGTGCATAGCTTGGAGCCAAACTTTCTCAAATGCAGTGTAGTAACATGTTCTTCTCATTTACTGCTTCTCTTTGTGGCTATAGAACTGCCACTGTCTGAGTTTGACGGTTAAAAGGGATGCCAGCTAATAGTCTTTAATTGTAAGGATACAATTCTAGGTGGGGAGAGATCATATGCTTCTATTTTTGATAACCTTTTGGAAAATACAGGGCTGTTTACTGCCGTCTGCTGAAAAATATGCAAGCGTTATCTTAGGCAAGAGTCTCTGTTTCTGTCCTTCGGTTTTAAAATGCTGAAATTGTGGCTGAGCTCTCAGTGCTGGAGGAGTGGGAGGTGGGGAGCCTCACTCCAGGTCCTGGCGCAAAGTAGGACCAGCATTATTTTTAACTGCTAACAACAGTGCGTGTTGGTTTTCTTTGTTCCAGTGATTAGGACAATGTACACTGAAGAATACCTTTCTAATAGCTTCTTTTACAGAAAAAGGAAAAAAAATCAGCCTTTTAAAAAGCATATCATGTATATTCCATTAGATCTGTTTACTGTTGTGTGTGTAGTGCCACTAAGTTTCCTTTGTAATCAGTATAATTGTGCATTTCTGTTTGAATTAGACTCTAGAGTTTTTAGGAGTTTACAGCTTAACTAGACTTTTATTTTAACAATAGGTCAACATGTAAAAAGTAACTTATGTTACGGAAAAGACGTTTTTGTTAGACGTAATATATGAATTTTTGCTTGACTGTTTTATTTATTTTTTAGAAGTAGTTGTTCTGTTTTATTCTTTCAACTACTGAACCATCTACAACCTATTGAGTACCCTAAAGATAATTGTATCTGCAAACATATCCAAACTTGTAAGAGAGCTAAGTCGTTATGGAACCCGGAAAAATTAGTACAAATGTTGTGCCACTTCATGGGCTTTACTACAGCCAAGATGAAATTCTGCCTACCTAAGCTGCAACAAGGTTTGGCCTTTTAATACCGAGTGTCTTGACATCCAGCTTTTGTGCCTGTTCATGATATCTTAAAAAATGTGTTCATACAACATTGAGCATGTCATTCCATTTCCAATCAAACAAGGCAGTGATTTATTTTGTTTTCAGTAATAAACTCTTCATTCTGGTAGTATTAAATACACCTCTGATAATAACAGAAATGTTTTCATTTTATTTTAGATTGCAGTTTTCACTGCATATACATGTGTTAAAAGCACTCTTTGTGTGATTTTACATTTAGTAAACACTTCTCATGAAGATTTGAGCTACAATTTAGGTACGGATCTTGAATTCATTATTCCAGCAAAACACTCACCAAACGCAGGGAAGAAAAACTATTGTTTGGCCCTCTGGGTCGTCTCCTGCCCTTCCTGGCTTCCGTGCTGCAGGAACTCTCATAGATCCCATGTGCTGGGCAGCCAACAGTTTTTGTCCTAGCAGATGGTACCGTTGAAGTTTTACGGCAAGTGTCATCACCTTTTTTCTTTTTAGTTTTCATTTCTTACTACTTTTTTTGCTAATTGCTATCTAAGAAATCTGCTTGGGCATTTCAGTATTCAGACTCAAAAAAAAAAAATTGTTGGGGGAATGAGGAAAAGTAACGATTTCTAACAGGCTTCAGTCACTTTCGAATAATGTCATTTTCATTCCATACTTTGAAACCATGGTAGAGGATTGTTTCTTTAAACAAATAGCAAAAAAAAAATTTAAAAAGAAGGCAAAAGCAAACTTTTTGTTTCACATTTCAGGTATAGCTGATTATGAGTTAGAAATGGATATTTTTTCATTTGAAGGTAGCTGATGTCTGAAAGCCAGTTAAATATTTCCCCAGTGGTGTTCAGTAAAAAGGAATACTAAGTTTTAAATTGTGAAATTACCAGTGGTGCTGTTGCGTAAAATGTTGCGTAACTGTGGCACCATAGATAGTATCATGTATGTGTACAAATACTATTTGGGTTTAAAATTTATGAAATTGCATTAAATCATTAAATGAAATTGTGCAACGCTAAGTATTTAAGAGAGCTGATATTTTTCTTTTATTCTTTGTCTTTGCTCTGTAACAGAAAAAACAAAAAAAATTTAAGCATGCATATTTTGTGGCTTTGAGACTTAAGCAGTGGTGAGCACCTGAAAAAGTTAGGATTGTCTTTTGAAACATTAACTCGCCCGCATTGCAGACATGTAATATTTTATAAACTAGATAAAGAGTTAAAGACGTATTTTAAAGGGCTTGCAGTTGATTTATACTAATATTCTTCAATTTTCTGATGCTTGTGCATTCATGTTTATTACACTTATTTCTTGCTAACGTAGAGCTCGGAGTTAAATATTCAGTTAAACCTCAGTTCATTGATAGATCTGTAGTTTCAGCATTTAAGGGGTATGTATAGCACGTCAATACAGATAAATAGCACGCGCGCAATTTATTTGCTGGATTACATAGCATCTAGTGCTTTAGCATACGGAATTTCACACCATTTCTATCCAGTGACTCTTAACTTTACCTCTAAAGCTGGAGTAGTTTTTCTAATCAGTATGCAGCAATGGGCTACTCATTTTTGAAATGCACTAATAATTTTCCCTGTAAACTGATTAAAAAGGAAAGTTACTTCCGTATCTTGTGATCAACAGTGCTTAATACTCAGCAAAATGTTTCTGACCTACGGGGGCAGGTATGCCATGGAAACTGTAGCACTGGAGTCTGTTTCAGAATTAAAAGTAACTGACAACTCTTAAGATAATGATAACGTGACATTTTTCATTCCTCAATTTATGTTTCTTGTTTTCTTTTCAAAACCAAATGGTAAAAGAGGATCTAATAAGTTCCAGAGTTGGACCAAGCTGTCTGTCAGCACACACCTGTTGTTAACAAGTGAGATTAATTGCAGCATAAGCCAATGTATCTACAAGCACGTTGCTGAACAGCAAAATTAAGTATTGCTGTCCGGTGCTTTTTGTTTAAAGAGTAGCAGTCTGAGTCTGTGCTCACACACACACACACACACACACACACGCATTCTTTTCTCTTTATAATTATTTTGACAGTGCCATTAACAAGAGTTGCCCTAAGGGGCCCTTTAGGGTAAGTGACATGCATGAGGAGTGATTTTCATCCCACAAGTTATGCTGTGATTAAAGCCTGGCCTTGCAGCCTGCTGCCTCGCTCAGGAGCCGCTCCCTTCTGCCGCCTTGCCCGGGACCGCCCGGAGCTCCTCTCCGTTAGCCCCGAAAGCTGCTGCTGAGCCTGAACGGGCTGTAGGGCTGTGAGTCTGTGTTTAGTTTAGCCTCTTACCGCAGCTCCTCGCTCTCATGACTGTTGTCAGTTAGAAAAACTTTTTAGCAAACTGGTGACATGGACCCATGGTCCATAACTCAGTAGCCAGCAAAAACCTT